AACAACGCGAGCTTCGGACTCCGAATCGGCCGACACACGAAGAGTGAAGCGTGAGGTTGAGGTTGGATCAGAAGAACGCAGGGAGATAGTAGAAGTAGGGTCTTTTACGCTTGTTTCTGAGATACAGCTGTCATACTAAATATCAATTAGCTTCGCTCGTTAGGACTAGTTTTGCGTATCACGATGGATGGCCTACTACAACGCGTCTTATCGCTATTTGCCGCCCCACCACGTGGATAACGTGAAGACGAGGCCTGAAGAAATGCACAGAGCGTTGGGGTAGACCAGGTCTTTCAAGTCTTCCATGCTGGGTTCCAAAAGCTCTGTAGTTGGCTGGTTGGAGACACTGATGCGCATGGCAGCAAAAAGACAAGTGCTCTTTTTATTCCTTATCAGACAAAAATGCTTGAAAAGTATGTGTGGGAAGTTATACTGTGTACTTTGTGTTCGCGATCACTGAAGTTTGCTTCACTTTTTCCGCTGTATGACGATGAGGAGGATATATTAGAGAAGTGTTGCTATTTGGGCAGCTACATTTCACCGGGCGGACGCATACCGGATAAAATGTCGCCATATCTACGGAAGGCTCGATCGGCTTCTGCCAACTTCAGGCAGCTCCGGTGCCGTCGTGACCTCCAGCTATCCGTGTTGAGTGTATGCTTTAGTAGTTTCGCTGGCTCTGATATAGGATGCAGACACTTGACCATTCAAAAGCAAGATCGAGGTAAACTGTCGGCGTTGGAACACCGCTGTCTACGCTGCATTACGGGAGTCTGATGAGGAAACGGGACAAACAATGCTGAGATTAGAAGCAGAGGTTTAGGTAACTGCGGTCGTCCGCTGGAGCAAATTACCGGTCTCCATAGACTGCGTTAGTTGGAAAATGTGTTACGCATGTCACCAAATAGATTGCTCACCCTTGCGATGTTTGCTAAGGCCGTTAATGGATGAGAAAAGTCAAGTTTCGTAAAACTAAGACCCAGCATGAGGGTATGAAAAGCGTTACCGGGAGGTTTGCTTACTTCGGTCGCGCTGGGCTTCCTTAATGAGGATATCGAGATCATCGTAATCAACAGTTAGACACGTTAAGTGATATTGTTGAGTGTCGGAAACGGTAGCTCTCACGCATCTACGCAATTTATTTGCCACCTTAGTCCATGTGAATTCTCCATTGGCACCGTGACACTGATCTGAGCATTCCGATTTTCCCTTTACTCCTTCCTCCAAATAGGCGACCATGATAGTGACCACAACCGGCGCACTAAAGTGCATTATTAATGGTTGTAAACACTGAACTTAGCTCAAGTATTACCTTGCTTTGATCATATTTTTATTTTTGTTTAACGTTGCGTTTAATCTTGGAATATGTCGTTCAGCTCAATGCTGATAACGCATCCTTTTGGAATGAATCAAACGACAATCTAACTTCAATCTAGTAATTCCTAAACG